GCGGCCTGGTCCGTGGCGGCTACCACGACGACAACAACAACAACAACAACAACAACAATAACAACAACAGCAGCAGGAACAGCACAAGCAGCAGCCGCAGCAGCAGCAGCAGCACAAATGGCAGCAGTACTAGTAGTTCTAGTAGCACTATTAATACGAGAAATACTAGTAGCACTAGTAGCACGAAAAATATTAGCAGCACTAGTAGCACGAGTAGTACTAGTAGTACGAATAGTACTGGCGGTGCTAACGGTACTAGCGGTACTAGTAGTACGCTGGGGATGTGGGGTTGTAACCACCCTAACTACCGCCACGACGAGAAAACTCGGTGGAGACATTCCTGAATCATGTTCCACCGGCCAGTGTTACTCGTGCAGGACACAATGCAAGAATACAGGAAGGCCGAGTGAAGGATTTGCCCAAGACAATGCTTCTGAGGATCACTGATCTCTTTACTCAAACTGATCTGCGAGCGTATGGCAAGAAACTGAACTGTTGTTCGGCACTTCACAAGTTCATCCCAAGAGGCAGAATGGCGCCCTTCGTGTAGCGGATCATGGCGACGGATTGAAGCAGAGCTACACAACCGGTCTAAAGAGATTCAGACAATGCATGAAGGGACCCAGCAAAGGGCAACTGCCCACGAGCCAAGAATTCTCAGCTACCAGTTCTCAGATGTAGTCCCATTGGCCTCTTTTTGCTCCTTGTGCCTAAAACAGAACTTGCAGGCGGAGTTGGATGAATGCTAACAAAGGAGTCATGTCATTGTCTCCTACCTACTACTCCTAGCATCGGCCGACCAACGACCGCCAAAGTGAGCCGGCATCCGACGATTGTAGCACACGCAAGGCAACATTGCCAGTCTGCACCGTGACCCACCTGCTTAGGCCAGCTTCGGAATCCTGCATCAGGTCTTTTCATTGGAACATGGACAGGCAAGATGATGTTGGCCACCCCCTCCGACTTATTCGAGCACAGAGAACAGCGACATCCGGGCAGGAGTGCCCAGATGGCCGAAGGAGGGGGCCCCACACGGAGCAATCACAGCGGGTTTGAAAAAGAGCGAGGAATTGCAGGCCAGCTGCCAAAAAGGCAGCACAGGAAGGCCAATATTGATAAAAGTATCGACCTTGCATCTGTCCAGCGGCTTCAAAGCCGGGTGCATTTTCGGAAGCACGAATTCAACTTTTGAAAAATAAGTTTGCGACTGCGTGTAGAATCCAAAAAGAGATTGGAAAGCCCAGCTGTCAGTAAAACACCCATGTACCGACATCACAATCGCGACATCGTTGTCAACAGGATGAAGCATGTCGGTGCACCGAGAGTGCCCCTCTGTACCCCAAAATCAAACGGAAGTGGACTCGCGTGCGAATCGCACCGCTCTGGACGCGCCACACGCCTCTGGCGAAACAAACCTTAGCTGTTTCTTAGGGGGGACATTAGATTCCTGCAGGACTGGAAGGAGCCCACTCTCAAAAGTGAGACGTATTGCCAGGAAATCCTGCAAGTCTCAAACCAATGCCAAGTGGACAGGAGAACTTTCATGTGTTGCTTCGTATCAGAGCGGGTATCGACGGGTGTTGGCTCAATGCTGAGACTTTGGGCTCTGTTCTGTGGTACTCCAGGAGATCCATCGACGTCCCCCAGATCTTCCCAGAAATGCGTCACCAAGCAATCCTCTTTCAGAGGACTGCCGTCGAAAAGCCACGGAAGAGAGGGCAGGCCAAGCTGTTGCGGGAAGGTTGACGCAATGCAAGCGCTCTTGGACACGCCTGCGCCTGGCCCGCTATTCCATGCAGTGGAGAGATGAGGGAACCAGCAGCAGTGGTCATTGACCAACGCGATGGCTGTCCCGTACACCGAGCTCAGATCTCACCAAGCAGTTCAGTTCCACTGCCTGCTCATATGGGCAAGGGCCATAGTGGCGCTGGTGCTGTTGTTATGCAAAGGACCAGCTATACTACGTGCGGGAAAGCTTTTGGTCGTTTATCAAGCATCCAAGGGCCTCTCTAATATTGGATAGCGGAAGTGTGGTGCAGCTGAGCTCCAGACATCAAGCACCTTGCTGAGGGCCTCGTTGCACAGGCAGATCTTGCAAAGTCATAGCTTCTTTCTTTATCCACTCGAAGATATTCCACGAAGCGCCTCGAACTGCTTGCAGGTGCGCGTGTCTTCGAAAGCATCCGAGATGTCCAGGGTTCCATCCGGTTGAACGTTCCTGGCCAGAGATCAGAAAGCAGATCCAGCCCATGCACCGAAAGTTCGTAGGCAAGACGGCAAACAAGAACAGTCTAAAAACTGAATGTGAGAGAAACTGCTGGCAGGTCGGCCACTTAAACTCGCGTTTGGAGTTTAGGAGCTTGCTGATAGTCTCACCTTTGCGGCCCACTGATTTTGCGACATGGTAGTTTCAGAGGCATCCCGGCACAACTCAGGACCGGCACGATCTCTCAAAGGGATCTCGGCCTTCAGCACGATTGCACCTGGACACTTGCGACTCGCCGTGGGAAAATGCTTCGGCAGAATGCACGCACAACAGCACAGCTGTGTAACGTTCATCTTGAAGCTTCGACTGACATCCACTGCTGCATCACGCAAGAACGGATGCAGCAAAGGCCCCCACCCACACCCTGGTAGACAGCTTCCTTCAGATCACGGTCCTTGTCGTGTCTCGAAGCGTAGGACAAGAAGCGAAGCTCAGAGAGCACTGCAATGGTTCCAACTTCACAACAAGCCTGGCCAATGGTGTACTTCTCTTGGTTGTAGATGCCTCAGCAGAAAAACACGTCGTATCGATCTCCTCGAACACTACGACACGACACAGACAAAAAACAGATTCCCTCTTTTGAGATCTCGGCTGGGGCATTCCCGGAAAAAAAGGTTCAGAGCCTGCAGCTGCACAAAAGATCTGATATGTTGACGCAGAGCCGGAGGTCTCGATGCGAGGCCATCTGAACGCCCACCAAATCTAGTTCACGAAACTTTGGGGCGCGATCATTGCCTGGTTGAAGTGCCCATTGCCCAAAGAGGTGTAGAGCTCCTGGACAGCTCCGAGTCGGGTTCGAGAAAAGCAACGTGTGTCGCGCCTCTCCCCTAAAGAGTCGCTCGTAGTGCTCCTGCCAGGCTTCCCAGCAAAACAGCAATGCTCCAAAAACCCACCAGGCCGGGTAGCATTGCATGGGTTTCCGGAAGATGGGATTCAACGCTTAAAGAGTTCGTGTTTGGGCAGTTTTAAATGCTCGCCAACCGAATAACAGGGGGCAGGGGACCCCGTACCCCCGAACGCGAGGGAGAGTCGGAGAGCGTCGCCATTGAGAATATGTTGACGAGCCGACAGCTCTTGGATGGAGGCCCGAAAAACTGGCTTAGGGATTTAGGGATTCAGGGTTTAGGATTTAGGGTTTAATGTAGGGGCCGAAAGAATTACCGATATCATTTTGCTTTTCCTTATTATAAATATAGTATAACGGGCCCCGAAACACTATTTTAATTATCAAGGCCCCTACATCAGGGATTGAAACCTGGTAGCAGAGTTTGGGTTCAATCTCTCTGGTTTGGGTGTTCATACACGGTCCATTGTCGACGTTTCGACATTTAGGGTTTAGGGTTGAGGGTTTAGGTGTGTAAGTGCGTGGTGTAGCTTAAGATTCAGGGTTTAGGGGTTGAGCTTAGACTTGATAAGGGCACGCTCAGCCAGTACGTGCGTGAGAAGACAGACAGCAGCCCTAAACCCTAAACCCTAAACCCGAAAAGCCCTAAGCCCTAAGCCCTAAACCCTAAAAGCCCTAAGCCAGCAACACAGCCTATCCTCAACGTACCAACAGAACTAGCTACAGAGGTCACGACCTGGGCATTCTTTGGGAGTCCCCCGTCCGAAATGAAAAACCTTGCATCGGCCTCTCTCTGTCTCTCTTTCTTCACCAGGCTTATCTTTCTTTCTTTCTGCTGGGCTTAGGGGTCGACGATTCGACCCTCAGGCTTTAAGCCCGCCCAAACCACCCACTGTTTTACTGAGTGGTTGGCTTTGGGGTCCTCACTGACCGTGGCAAAAGAAGACTAAGTCTATGCCAGGCTTCATGTTGCAAGCCCCCGACCCCGAACACTAGGACCCCCACCCCGCGTCCCGGCCTCATCACCGCGCCCCTATGGCTATCACCACGGGGCTTGCAATGAGCTGAAACCCTGGAAGAGCCCCCATGCATACGGCACAGACTTCAAAGCACGAAAACCCTGTTGACCTGGCATATCTTTCTCTCTCTCTCTCTCTCTCTCTCTCTTTCTCTCTCTCTGAGTAAAAACTCTTTCTCTCTCCTTTGCTTCCCTTTGCGACCCCTCCCCTCACGCGAGTGACTGAGTCTGGGTATTTGTGGGTGCCCCAAAAAAACACGCATTGCAAACGCAACCCGGGCTTCAGACGAGAGTCCCCATCACAAACCCGTACACGCGTATTCCGAAACCCACGGCCTTCAGGCTTGTGCACAGCTGCTCAGACACTCGGTTGTTTGTTAAAGACCAGTACTCAACTTAAGCAAGAACAATCCCTAGTGCCAAGACTTCCCCAGTCTTAGTCTTAGTGTATGTCAGGGTTTTCCCCGGAGTTTTAGTTTTGCCAGCTTAAAGCTGGCACTATAACTCGTGGGAGGGCATGCTCCAAGCAGAAAAAGATGCATCATCCAGCGAGTTAGGGTGCACACCCTCCTTTCGGCTTCTGGCTACTGCAAATTACCGCCCAAACACGACACCTTACCCAGCTAGAAGCATGTGCACAACACTGAAAACTGTAAGAAGTCTTGGGCCAGCATGCACTACACTCAGGCATGCGCACACTGCATTAAGTTAAGTTCTCGGTGCAAAACGAAACAAGCACAGGGCTCAGGTCCCGAGGTGCTGCGGTTTCGATGCAGGTCTCTCTGGGTCTCACTCTCTAGAGACTCAGCTGAACAGCCGCTCGAGCACTCTTTCAGTTGCAAGTCCTGCGGAGCAAAACCCTTCTCATCATTGAGCTTCGCCCTCCAGTTCCTGAAGGGCGCAGGGGCAGAACATCGGTCGGAGGTGCAAGGAGGTCGCACGACGATGCGAAATTCATGGCTCTTTCTGCCATGTGATTGGATGCCAGCGATCAAGTGCTATCGGACGCTTGTTTCTTAACTTCGTGTGGGGTGGCCTATGGTCACAGCATGTCATAGGTCCCCAGCTCAATGGACTTCTTTCCAAGCTCGCTGCTGGTTTTCTCACACCTGCCGAAAGCAGAGTGAGCAGCGAGTATTCCACCAGAACATGAACACTTGTGTTCGAAAGCGAAACTGTTTGAGATGCTGGGTGCCCCGGCACAAGAACAGGGATGTCATGACCCTCGTTGCCATTGCGCTTTTGGAAGCCTTTGCTCTGCATGAAGTACTGCTGTTCTTTCACGGGTTAGGGCTAGGGCACGCTCTTGAATGTCTACAGTCTAGTGTATCGTAGACCAGGAGTCTCAACAAACAGTCGCTGGCCAGAAACCTGACCTTCCGGGTGAGCAGGTTGGGTGGCTTGCTCCAGGCAGTCCAAAGAGCTACTCTCATCTAAGGTGCCTGCCCTTCTCTTTGAAACTGGTCGCGAGATAGTGCACATGCTCCACGCTGAGACCAGTGTGGCCTTGCACACACGTACAACGGCATCCTGTTTCGGCGGTCCTCCACTAGCTACGAATCGGCACAGAGCCACAAAGCAAAGAACATTGTGAAGAGATGGTTACCCGCAAGACACGAATGACTGGTCGATGTTGGAACCTCGGTTGCTGAAGTCCGGAATCACCTTCCGGGGGGCCACCTGCACGCAGAGCAAGTGAACAGGCAGATGCATTTGATGTACTGCAGCCGTAGTGGCTGAGCAGCCCAAGCCTTGATCACACCGGGCACTCTCCACTTTGCGATCAGGTCATTGAGCAGCTTCAGTTCCGCCTGCTGTGCACAAGCTTGCAATGAAGCTGCACAGACACGGCAGCTTTTGCCGAGCCTTGTCCTTGTTTTCGTCATCCGCGACCTATCCCAGAAACCAGACTGGGAGCACAAGGAGCCTGCTCCATGAAACTGTGTATCGCTGGGGCAAGCGCCAGCTTTGCGTGCGCATCAGATGTGCCCGGACAGCAGCCCTGCAGAGGGAGCGCAGATGCAGATGACGTTCTGTGTACAGTCCAAAGACTGTCGACACAAAACTTCGAACTCTGTCCTCGACTCCACGTGCGAGAGGGTTGTTGGAGGACCCTGGCATGTGACAGTTTAGCAACATTGGGAAGTCCTCTTCCAACAGCCAAAGAAAGTCATTGCAATAGCAAGTTCGGCCTGCATAGCCCATGGCCTTCATCTGCTGCGTCCAGGCTTCCATACGCTCTGAAGACACCTGTCGTGGAGTCCACTGGAAATATAGCACCCGCTAGACAGTCAGACAGTACTGCAATAGAAAAGGCTTGAAATCAGAGCCTTGCTCCAAACAACGGACCGGGCATACTGCATCACTTCCTGGCATCGTTTTTACACGATACAGGAACGATAGGAACATAAACTTGCTTTATAGTCTGAAGAAGACTCGCAAAGCTTTCATGTCACCGTCGTGTCCCTCGTTCGCTATGCAAACAGCTACGGTCCATGCTTTGACATGATACCGATTGGGCCCTCATCTCCTTGCTCGGAGCTTCCTTGAACTCAACCTTCTCATCTTCCAACCTTGGAGACGGAACGTCGTGCGAAGAACACAAGTGGGCCAGCGAACATCGAAGTTCTATAATGGTTCACCAATGAAGCCAAAGTCGAAGCAGCCTCGGGATGACCTTTTTTGCACATCATGTAGATGTCAATGATACAAGTGCTGGTTTTGCTCCGACTGCAAACTCTGGCTCGCGATCACTCCTGGACCATAGGACAACAACAAGACGAAACTTCAGAAAACCTTGGCAGTTGGGCCCCGACCAGCCATTGAGTTGCCAGAGGCGTCCCACACTGCTGACCTTGCAACCACACACTGCCTCGTTGCTACTTACTGAAGGCTCAAGGATCTCTTAGCCGGGTGTCCCCTACGTACCTGCCAGTTGCCAGCTGGCTCTGCTGCTGGCAAGACTAGCGGTCGGCATTGGGCCCGGACAGTACCGTCCTCGTTCAGTAAGATCGGATGTGCCTTCATGACGAGCCCGTTCAAAGAAACCTCGCTGTCTGGGAGCTTTCATATTCATCTATATACACTCAAAGAGAGCTCACCTCTGTATCCGCAGGATAGAAAAAACTGAATTCGGGATATCTGCAAGAGTGACCTGCCTGGCATTGAAAACTCCGCATACCAGCAAGCTCGCATTCCCTGATGCTGTGCTGTAGCGTATTGAGTCCAGATCTGGAGGGCTTTAAACAATTGCAAAACCAAACACCTGGCCACTACCTCCTCGCTCGAAAGCCCGCCTGAGTGCCCTCGACGCGAATCTTGGCACCCATGCTGTTCACCCAATCACCCTGAATGGAGTGTTTTGTTTGGGCGGGGTCGTATGGCAAAAGACGACGAAGCCGGCAAGTCAGCTACGACCGACGAAAACAGCGCTGTGCAAGTGGAAGCTTGACGCCTGGAGCGTTTCCAGCGTAATCGGGGTAGTTGGAGCCGGCTTCGGCTCCGGAATCTCTTCCGGCTCCTGTCACCATAGCCATAGCCACTTTCCGGGCGTCATCTTTTCTTCAGAAGCAGACACACCGTCATAAGCCACACCCACTCCATGCCGACCTTCAAGTCGGCCGAGATGCTTGCATGCTTGTCCTGCAATCCGCAGCCAGTGCTTCTAGAACGCTTTTTCCGGTCACACGAAACATGACGGGCTGATGGTCTACTGGCAGGCAGCAGCTGTCCAACAACCGTTCGGGAAGTGTCACAGCCGTTCCATGGCCTCCACACACTCGGATGCAGCTGTGGTGCTTCGAGTCGGCGAGTCCTGAAGGGTTCAGAGTTAAGACCCAGCGGCTGTCTAATGCCGCCATTTTGGAATTCCATGTTTTCGCGTTCTTTGCAGCTGTCAAACAGTATCTTCGCAACTGTGTTGTCAATCTCGTGTAAATGCTTCTCGGATACTACTGCCGCAGAAGAAATGGACTCGGACATTGCACAGTATCTTGACAGCACACTTCGTGTTGCGCAAGGTCCTCCGGCAAGCCAACCGAGACCTCCCGTTCGTGCATGGGCTTGACCGGCTCGAAATCATAACCTGAAAACAACACCACGAGGACAGCCCGGCATTCCTTCACGAGTCACAACCGTTCCAGGCGAGCAACCGCACCCTCTGTCTAGCCACAGGCAACAACTTAAACCTCATCCGACCTTCCCCTTCTACGAACCACTTTCGGGGCCGTTGCTTCTGTGAACCACTCTGGCTCTGTCTTTGCAGTGGACAAACTATCCCATGGCTTGCACATGCTTGGATACCCCCATACATGAAAGGGCGCACCTGCAATGGAGCACGCGGTTTTGGGGGGTGCTGGAGCCGGTGCTGGCGTTTCGCCAGCAGGGTTGCAAATGCCTGGCCGCTCAAAGTAGGACTCCATCGCAATGTGGACGGTATGCTGTCAATGATATGTGCTGTGGTACAAACATGGCAGAAAAACGAGAAGCGACCGCCCCCATCGCGGCAAAGAAGGTGACCAAAAGTCCACAAAAACTCGAGCCAGAAACTGCGAACGAACTGATCGCAACACAGCATGCCACGCATGTTCATGAAGCAGCAGCGAAGGCTGTGGTGCTCAATTTGAATTTGAATGACCGACAAAGCTAGGCTGTCTCTTTCGATTGATCTCAGCGACCTTCCCAGTTCATCGATCAAAGCTGGCAGGAATATCAGACTTATCATCTTAGCGAAAACCTTTATGTGCACATGCATCAGCGAAGCCTGCAAGAGTGCGCAACAGTTACAAGCGAGTGAACATCATGCATGTACAAGAAGGGTTACTCGTACCACAAGCATTGTGAGGTGTCTGTAAGGTTGGTAAAGCGGCACATGAATGCAACGCAGTCAAACCCGGGAGTCGGAACTTTCTCCAAAAGGCAACATCTTCAAAAGGAGACATTTCCTTCGTCTAGCTCTTTCCCAGGAAGCTTCGGAGCTTCGTGCCAGCACATTCGCAGCTGGGGGTGCAGTGCCGACATCCGACTGGCCGAGTCACAGTGGTGTGCGGAGACTTTGAGAACCATCTCCGAAACAACGAGCATCTCCAAGGAACCGACTAGGATCGATCTTACTCAAAAACATGAGACCCTGTGGCTGACCATCTGAAATGTTGCCACAGCAGGAAACAGACGTAGCGAGCATCTTGTGCGGAAAAAAAGCACCACAGCGGAGGGACATGAGGGCCCAAAAAAAAAAAAAGGACCAAAAAAAA